GTACAGTATGGGTGGCGATACTGGGACCGCAAGTGGTGATGGTGACCATTTGGGACGGCAGAGGCGGCATTTGGCAGTGACTATGAGGTTTGTGCAGGAATGAAGGAATTGAAAGGAATTCAAACCCGACAGGTGTGAAGAACAGCGAGCGCGCGGTGGCTGGGCTGGGCGGACGCTGGTGGCTCTCCGCCACGGCCCATTCAGGTGACGACGCGACTCCCAGATTTTCCCGGAAGGTCCGGAGTGATTGACGGGGTTTCAGACGAGTGTCGCAGTAGTGTGGTTTGATCACCAACCAAACACACTCGTAAACAAAAATAAACACTTATCAGAGCCAGGGCAGAAGGAAATTGCGCAAGAAGACAGATGCATTGTGTTGAGAAATCTGGTTTGTAAACATCGTCGTTATGTAATTTGTTTTGATTTCTTTTCAGTATTGTGCAAGATGTATGTCGTTTTTAACGTTACGCCTTTTTAGTCCTTTTAAGTCCACGTTCAGAATTGACCATAAATTTACGCGCGGAAATGAGCACAATGCACACTTTGCGGCAGCACATTGAATCCGGTAGTTACGTGCCCACATTCTTTATATTCGTTACTCGGGGAGCAAAGTTTTGATAAGCCCATTACCAATGGTGATAACTACTATTTCATAATTGTAAGTTGTTAACTGCAGCCCCATGGGACGCAAAATTTTGGAGTGATATTTTCATTTAGAATGTATGAAGATCTGCTGTTTTCCCGGAAGGTGGACTCAACACTGTTACAAGACCCGATCTTAGTTGACATCCAATTGATTCTACTGTTACTATGGTGTGATTATGCAGATTACCTCATCGCAGCAGACAGACAAGAAGTAAAACCACATTAGCACAGGAAAATGCGGCGTGCAGTTACTTTCTGTGGACTTATCGCCACCTGCTGAGCCGTGAAAAGAACAGAGAAAAGAGTTGTGCCGCGCCTTAACCTGGTCCGGCAATGATTGGCTGTGCCGGGTTTCCCGAAGGCCAGGTATCCAGTGACCGGGTCACTCAGGGCGCCGCGGCGGAGCTGCTGATTTCCCCCGCGTGAGTGGGGTGAGCGGTGACTGATTTAAAAAATGGGGATAGGTACTGCGTGTCTGCGTCATGGAACTCGTAGAGTTTACTGAGCTAGCTCACTGGGCTCGTCTGTTTTGGGGACGTGCGCCGCAACTTAGCTGTGACATGTTACTTGTTAGTTGTTTTTGATTCGATAAGCTTGACCTGCAAGTTCAATGCTTCTTATTTTTGTCAAGCAAGTGTTGGATGAAAAAAGTTGTTTTCTTTTTCTCTTGTATACCTCAGGCCTCTCACTTGGCGTTAGGTTAGAAAGTGGCAGTACTTAGATGCAAAATGATCTCGCAGTATTCCTAAGCAGCACCCAGTATTCTTTCTGTTTATGCCGGGACTGAGGCCCAGATTTTATTTTATTTCTGAGAGTTGCTGTTCTCACCCGCCGTGGCCCTTCACACAGCCGTATCAAGTCGCAGACGCGACATAGTTTCTCACCACACCTCACCGCTGCCAGATTTCAATGGTACTTACCCTGCCCGTAGAGCCGCCACCGCAAACCCCACTGACAACGGTATCGGCACATTAAAATGGAGGAATCCGACGAGATCAGTGTGAATAGCTGGACACGAACAGCCTAACACACCTACCACACATACCGGAAGCCGTGGCGATACGTGCGGTCTCACACTGATCCGAAGACGCCAGAGATCGTGACATCTTGGCAGATTTTCACGGAACTGGAGATGGCCGGGATGGTCGGATGGTGGCCCTGCCCAGATCTGAGGCCGGTCTGGCCGGAGATTTTCCGACAAAAAATTGACGACTTTCTTGGCATTGCCATTAATCCTATACTTGTGCTGAATGGACGTAGTTGCTCTGGCTTTGGTTTTGTAAGCCTGTCAAGCTTGTGTAACGCATTGTATATGTGATGTAATTGATGGTTCGGTTCTTCCCATTAGCGTTTTTATGGCGGATGAGCTATCACTATTGCATCACCTCAACAATACATAATAGGGGAGGAAATCTTAAACGCAATACTCTGAATAGTGGTGATACTTTTGATTTTTTTGGGAAGACGTATTATAACGGAATGCTTACGTTATTTGTCAATCAAATGACTTCTTTTACGTCAGAGTATGCTAATATTCGAGGGGAAAGATTGGTGCTCTCTTCAAACCATGCCGGTCACCATATTACCTCTTATCTTTAAAAACCTGCTGTGTGAAGTACCGACTGCCTCACATTCAAAGTTCACAGTTGCAAACAAGTGCGGTCGTTGTCAGCTTGTTGTTTAAACGAATGATATCACGGTGCTGGCCGCTGGTAGCTTGCTTGATCGGCTTGATCTGGGCTGCATCCAATAACTTCTCTCCATCAATGACTTCTTTCGCTTCAGCCTTATTTGCCATGGATTGAAATAAATGCGACCTGCTGGTCCATAGATGAGACTGAGCTATAGAGTCCATAGACGCCCATCTGAGCTGTAACGATGCATATAATACGAAACCGACACCCACGGGTGTTGATTGTGTTATTGTTATATCAAATCGCACACCGTTTCTACTGTCGCCGGCCGCTCGGCGTCAGGCGCACAGCGTCAGGCGCCAGCGCGCGTGCGGGGCCGGAACTCCCGGTCGTACCGTAGCGTAGCGGCTCGGTAGCTGATGGTCATGGGACTGCCGAGTGGTGAACCGGGGCGACTCGATGGCCAATGTCGGTCCACAGGCTTGGTGAAGCGAAGAGGTGTCCAGTCTGACTGCATGACCTCACTTGTATAATTACGAGCGAGCGAGCGAAGCGTAGTTTTTCGTAGAACAGAAGAAATTTCTGAGTATTAGCGTCCGTCCGGCCGTGGTGACAGTCACGCTTCTGCGAGTCTTATAGCTCAGGAACCACTGGACCGATTCACTAACGGTCTATTTTTGGTAGGGTAGCTTCATCCCTTCTGCCAAGCATTGGACTATTCCCGATGTATGTGGGTGACCCCCAATGCGCGTGCCACGTGTAAAACGAAGTGGTGTAGCAATTACCTACTGGGCCTATCGCGCTGAAACTTGGTGGGTATGCATGAAGGCACCCAACGAAGCAATGCGTTCCATGTTTCAGGGTTTGGGCACTACTGCACGTGCGTATAGTGCATGTACTGGTACACGGAAAGGGGCCGGTTAGCAGGACTAGTTAGGGTGCCTTGCAAAAGTTAGTTGGGACCCAATATGCACGTGCGCACGTCCGGGTTAACGCTTTCACAGATCTCAGAAACGGCTGGGCCGATTGCGCTCTAATTTGGCACACCGCTAGATAACGGCTAATAGGGCGCCGTGCGCAAGTCGGTTGCAAGTACCCCCTCGCAGTTCCGCACGCTCAAGTGCAGGACTCACCCTCTCGCTCGTTCGTTTGTCACCCCAAAAGGCGTCTCACCCAGTAGTAGTAATGATTTTAACCTTCGCCCAGATGGGAGAAAGCGTTTTTTGGCCTTACCTGCCAGTTTTTTTTTTTGCGTTTGTTAAGAAAGCTGCGGCTCGCAGCGCCGTGAAACTTCCTTGCACTTTATTATGCTTACTGAATACATACATATACATATTGCATGTAACTTATTATGCATCAATTTCGCGTTGTGTGTAAGCTTTTGGAACCCAGGTCAGATTAGGTCAGATTTTCTGGTCCAGTTAAGTGGCTATGGCTCTATAAAATTTTCGATTCTGTCATTCCTGCAGTTTATCTTCTATAAGTTTAAAACTCGGGGCATCGGGAACTCGCGAACCGAAGTTGCTGAGGTCGCGGTAGAGACTCCACCAGGTCGCGGGTTTATGATCATCTAAGTGATCATCAGGGCTGTTCTCCACTCTAACGAACGAATATGGATTTTATTTAATGGCAAGCGCAACCTTCTTGAAATTTGTTGCGTCAGAGTCGTCCTTATTTCTCTTGACGGTCTTTCGCGCGGTGAAAGCATATTACAAAATACCTTTGGTCTTCAAATGGTCTCTTGAGGCAGAGTATTCCGAATTGTAAGCAATGGCTTAATACATGAGCAAAATATGATAAATTAGTATTCATTCAAACCTGGTTTCTCCGGAAGCGCCGCGTCCCGCCCTGCCGGCCGGTCGGTTCGGCGGTCAGTGTGATCCCGCGCCCGTGTGTGGCCCGGCCGGTGACCGGCCATCTCCCGGCACTGGGACCGCTCTCCGCAGGTGCTAATGACGCCGACCGGGTGGCCGCCGCCGACCGGACGTTCCTCCAAAGGCGGCGCGGGCCCTCTGATGTCGACCCGCTCTAAAGGCGCCGGCCTGTGATCACAGATGAGAGGGCATGCATAATATGGTGTCGACAGCGGTGTCTGTGAATTACGAGATGTCAACACGTTTCGTTAATCTGCGCTTAGGAGAGTTCTCGTGAATGAAGATGTTTTCAGTCTGCCGTGAGCGTGACGTGAATCGGGGTGGCATCCTCTCAGAGAAATTGGATTTTGTTGTGTTGCACGGCGATCGTTTCATCTGACGGCTTCCAGCTGGACTAAGACAGGGCCAGTTTCCTGTCGAAAAATGAACTCGTTATCAGCTGGACGGTTTTTGTTTAATCTGCGACTGCATTGGCCTGCCGCGTGGTTTGTCGTCCGTGCAGTGCCCGCATTGTTCTTGGCGGTGCCAGGGGAGCGGTATGCTGCGTTGCGTCAGTTTATTGACATGATCATTGATCATTCTATTGTGTCCAGGACGTGTTTCTGACACATTGTATCAGTTTGCTGATCGGGCTATTCTGTGTGTCACCAATGACTATTCATGTATGACGATGTGGATGCATTTGATGGCAATGCGACCTCCAACGTCCCTGCTCCAATATCTGCAACCGCCTCGCCCCGTGCCTAGAAGGTGTCAATATGAGTTGCATCATTGACCGTGCGCTGTGTGCGATGTTCTATTTTGTTGCATCAGCGATCTCACCAGCGCCTCTGTCTCCGTGTTGCAGGAGTTCATGCTATGTCGCCAAGAGGAGAAGGATCCGCGCAAATGTCTGGCCGAGGGACGCGCGGTTACCTCGTGCGCGCTCGAGTTCTTCCGCAAGGTGAAGAGCACGTGTATGGATGAGTTCAACCAGTACGCCAACTGCCTGGACCGTGGATCGCCGGACCTCAAGTTCCGAATGTGAGTACTCGTGTGGTGTGTATGTAACATGTCACCGCTGATATGTATCATGACGAGGTCGGCCTCTGATGAGAGATCATTCATTCCCCGACCTCCCCGCCCGTCGGACGTCCTCGTAGGTCACACCCACATCACTCCCGGAACGTGACGTGCGTCAGGCGTCTGTCGGACGCCGCGCAGACGCGCTCGCCCGCGTCACTCCCCTCTGATATCCGTCGGCATCTGGCCCTTCCGGTGCGTCGGCCGCCGCCGGCGTCAGCATCTCGTCTGGCATCGCCGACCCGGGCCGTCGCAGTGCCGACGCGGTGCTCACACGTGTAATCCTTTGTCGTCTGGCGTGAGCCCCGCGCGCGGATCGGGCCCTCAGATGTACCGCGGCTCGCAGAGGCCGCCCCGTGCCGCTGGAGGCTCTCCCGTCTCTTCGGCGTATTCTTCGTGAAATGTGGAAGTTTTTTTCGTGTCTGGGTGGTCACCGTACCTCATATCGCCGTCCTTTGTCGTCCTTTGCCCGCTGAATCTCCCCGGCATGCGATGGACGGTGGTTGTCCCGACGGCGGCGTTTTGAAACGTGTCCTCCGGTCACGACCGGCTCGGCACGGGAGGGATGCCGCTCGTGACCCACCGGGCGCCGCTCGTGACCTGGCGTATAGCAGGCGAGGTTGCTGGAACTGGCCGGTCGTCGGGTCGGCGGCTGTCCTCGGGACAGACGACTGACGCCCGGCAACTGGCGTCAGAGGCCGTCGGCACTCTCTGTTGTAGTGATGGGAGTGTATTCTTCATCGAAAACTCTCTCTGCGCAGTGGATCAAGTTGTTTGAAATCATTCCTTCTTAGAGCGGGTGGGTGAGGCGTGGTGACGATTTTGAAGAAATGGCCGGGCGCCGTGCCGATCGGCTTATGGTGATGCCTTGAGAATGAAATGCGCCAGTCATTTTTCACGAGTCTGGTGCGCTGCGGTATCTGTGCGCAAACTCAGGCCGCTCTGATCGTCCGCGGTCCATTCAAAGCATCCGTCCATTCCAGCGCCCAACTGTGTGCCTTTCCGTGAGGCCATCGATCACTTTTACGGAGATTTAGATTGTGTCTTCGGTTACCATAGACAGTGGCATTTATTGCAGGGGTCGAGGAGAGGAATAGGTAGGTACCTAATATTTATTTTACTCTGCAAAATATGCGGTTATGTCATAGATTTGTTAATATTTTATTCAAATTTCATTGTCATCTTTTGTTGTCATCAATGTGATATTCCGCTCCTGGTTACCCGGTAATTCGTGTTTCGCGTGCACGGACTATGTAAGATCAGTGAATATCTGACGTCGGCTCCCCGTGTAAACCAGTTCTCGCCCCGCGTCTAGTGCCGGCCTTTGTCACTAGATGGCAGGTGCGGTCGACGGCCGCCGTCTTACGAGCCCCGTGATTTATTCAAATGGCACCGTACATCGCCACAACGAGCTGTGTGAAACTGAAGCCGGTCTCTTATTATTCAGCATAGCTGTAAACAACATTGAATTAAGTGACGTTATAGATCGGGTGCGGCTGATTATGGTGTGTGTTGTGACGTAGACCATTGAGAACGAGAGAGGGATGACTGGCAATCCGTGCTTTGAAAGCTACGTGAAGATCGTCACAATAATACAGGCAGTCCCCACCCTGACTGAGAGATGCGGATACATCAGTCCACTATGAGTCACCGCGCCGTCAGTAATGCAGCAGCCCGTGGGGGGGGGGGGTGGCTGATAAGTTACCCTGCACGCTGCTACCACGGAAGTCCCGCCGTCAGCGCGCTGATGATGCTAGGAACGCTGGGCGACGCGGGCACGCGCCCGCGAACTACGAGCTCGGCGCGCTGGGGACAAGTGGTGACCATTTTTGGCACGACGTGGAAATGTCCACAGATGAGAGCGCGACCTTGGTGATCGGTGTTACTGGATTGCAACGGCGCATTTACGGAGAAGGGGTATAATGAGACAAGCGTTGGGCAATTGATACTGTCGCTTGGGCGAGAATCGCCAGCTTTTGTTGGACGTTTGTTAAGTTCACTGTCGATACAGATGTTATGGTAATTGATAGATATAGGCCTATATGACGGCGCGATGGAATTTGGTTTGTGGCGAGCGGCGGTGCACACTGGCATTCACATATGTACAACTGCCCACTTATCTATCAATATATTTGTGTTACTCTTTTGTGTGTTTCCTCAAATCATGCTTGCATTTTTGCGGGTATTATGCAATGTGCATCGTGAATGGTTTTTCTATATAGACGTGTTGTGGTGCACACAAGAACACGTATTCCTGGGCCTGTGTTTAAATTAGAAATATAACATCTGAAAACCATTTATCTCAGCCGATGAAATGGTATGGTGCTCGCACGTTGTAGCTCACACAAACTATTTTTACCTTTTAAATCTGTCGGAGAATTGGTGAAGATTTACCTTATCAGAGTGATCCAATTACCTGAGTAGATCCACATCCGTCCGTCCGTTCCGGTAGGTAATCCTCAGATAGGATGTCTGTATCCGCACAGCACCCGGCCGCTGGTCCTGGGCGGCCCGAGCGAGCTCCGTGCTACACCTGGCGCGGCGATTGAGTCACCGACTTAATTTGCTCCTTATCATTATTAATATCCACGCCTGACGCTGACTCACACTGTTGATCATTGCTCTGGATGCTACGGAGGTTTTGGTTGCGGTTGAAACGGCATTTAAAATTAATGTACCCATTCACACACCCATCGCGGCTATGTATAAACACTTCTCGCTATGGTTGTGAGACAATCAACATTTAATGTGAGTTGTGAAAATGCTGCACCTTTTCAATGTTCATTCATTGTGAAAGAAACTGATCAACGCCTTTGTCGAGACTCGAGATTGGAGCGTTTGCAAATGCTTGACAATACCCGTACAATGGTAGGTATCGTCTAAAATCATGGATGTAAGATGCATGGTATTTGGTATTTCTGTTTTGATATTTTAAGTGATATTTCTTGTCCAATAATAAAACCTGTGTACACCCATGTCCTTGGCACCGTAGGTGCGTTATTTTAGGCCATATCAGATTTGGCATTCCCGCTTATACATGCTCGCTAATTAAAATAGTTGCGCGTTCCTGGTTATATAAATGTCATTCACAGTTTTCCGGCTTCAGTAATTTACTAGCAATAGCGGATCTGTGTGTTTACTTACGGACAGTTGAGTTCGCTGAAACACTGCCGACAAGTGACCAACTACCATTTAACAGGCGACCAGTTCCGGTGGATGCCGAACTTACCAGGATCTCCAACAGAACGATCGATCTTCACAGTTCGTCATACAGGAAACCTTGAACTTGTGAAGTGCTCCATGGTGTCAAAAATGAGTGTGTACAGTTGATTCCGAGAGTGCATAACGGCTGAACCCTGGACTTCCCTGATCATTACGGTTCAATCTCTAATGTGATGAACATCTGGATGCTGATTTTTCAGACCAGTCAGATTCAATACTCTGGATGTTTAATATCGACTGTTGGCAGTTGGCACAGTTCTCAAGACTGAGTTTGGGTTCGTGCGCATTAAAAAGCACATGATCACTCAGATCAGGACCTAACTGCGCGTCTCTAGCACAGTGACGGATCGCAATAATAACCTGCTTGTGAACTGCGTTCTTTCAGACGTCTGATTGCTGGATTTTCCTATCACAGCAGGGCACTTATTAGTAATTAAAAAGCAGCTAGACGCATGACTACAGCAATTTTTGAAGTTGAATCAGTTGATGTCATAAGAGTCGAATTCCACCACCATTTCTAACCTGCCTTATCCCGTTTGGCGTTCACGGCATGCGGGTGAGATAACTTGGAATGGGGTTCGACCATTCAGCTATGTAGCTGGCATGCTGGGTGACCAGCTCGGCGGGACGGAGCGTGCCAGGTCTTATACCCGAGGTGGGCGGGGGGGGGGGCTGATCGGAGGGGTGGCGCCACCCCCCCCCCCCCCGTCTGCGCCCTCCTCCCTCCAGGCTCTTTACAGACTGAGGAGAACAATTGGGTGCGAATTATATCGTTCAAAATTTTCCTTGCAGTGACATAGCTTTTTGATAGATAGCGTTGTTTTCGCTCAGTAAAATGTATTCTAAGGTGAACAATCTGAGCATCAGTCGAGGGTGTTTAACAGACTCGTTAAAAAAAAAAAACGATGGGACAAGTCGAACAACAGTCGACGTTTTTTGCAAGGCTTATTCGGAGTAAGCATGCTTAAAACGGCGTGTGTGTATGCTGGCTCTACTAATGATCTCTTCAAAGCTCTGTCGTATTATATGTTTAGCGGTTCGGTAAGCACAACATGAGCAGATAACTTACTCGCAGCTGTTGTCAGGTAGCAGATGTCCGCACCAATGTCGGAAAACACGTTCAGCCTATGGTTCTGTGGGGGGCTTATGTGTTACTTCTCATCCCCTCTGACGCCAGTGCCAACAGCGCCATGCTAAACACGTGGGCACAGACGGAAAAATCCTGTGTTACTTGTCAGCCTACCGCTAGGAAGGCTACTTTTGTCTCTGTGTAGGGGGACTGAGTTTACTTCACGAGATTTACAAAGATGCTTATCTGTTGTAATCATGGATACACTTGCATAAACCACTGCGGTGACGCGTGGTTCCTCACGCAGGCCCAGCTATAGAAATGACTGCGCTAATACGCTCACTACTGAGTTGCCCTGCGTCTAGCTACAAAAGTAAAGGCTGCTTGCGAAACTTTCACAGAGGAACTTGCTACCGTTTGAACTAAGAAAATGGCCTGAGATATATCATATGATGTAGATAAGAACAGTGACACCCACATGTCTAGTGTATGATCCGGGGAGTATTCGAGTGCTCGGCGTGAAGTTTGTTTTATCTTGAAGCCGTAAAGTTCTGGAGAATCTGTTATGTTTGTTGTGGAGTGCGATGTTTGGTGAAGAGTTTGTCCCAGGACAGTTTCTGATGTTAGGGGTAAGGTCTAGAGGAGCTCTGATGTCCAGTCTGGAACAAGG